AGTAATTGAATAGGCCTAAGTGGACTTTTGACAACAAGAAGAGAATTATATATATAAGTAGTGTTTGTGATATGCCTGTAATCTCAATGAACCAATCATAGGCAGCTTATCCCAAAGTGGCCTGCTTTATTTCTTTTAAATACTGTTCTTATTACTGATGTTTGGGACAATATTTTGTCAGGTAAGTTCATTTTGTTAGAGCAAAGCAACATTGGGCTATCTGCTGAGTCCACTATAGGGAATCATGCCCTGATTTCCAGCATTGTAAGTCTATAAACTTACCACTGTCTCACAGGGGGACTGAGAAGCCAATAGAATAAAAGAAGGTGCAGGAAAAAATGTATCAATATTCTCTCCAGAATGTCCAGGATAACCTTCAATTACAGCCTTAGAGCCCCCTGGAGGATCATCAATGAACCAAATATATGTCTCCTTCTCATTGCAAATACAATCACTGGCAGTCTCAACACAGATTGATGTGCAATGCTAGATATATGAGGTGAGATAGGAGAGACCCGATTTGTCTCTGTGCCAGGAATAATAATCTGGGAATTCATACCATATATTGAATTACTAATCAAATTTTTTTATGAAAATCAACTAGGTAACATGAAGAGCACTGAAAGTACCTTCAAACGATTGTAGCATACTCTGGAATTCCCGATTGTTGGTATATGTACCCAATCCCTGAAGCAAGGCATTCGTGAAGAGAATATAGCTCTGGACAAGAAAGCAGTAGAGGAACCCAATTTGTAGTAGTATCCCGACTTAACCCCTCAAGATTGAAGAATGATCCCGACTAAGGAAACAGAGGAAACCAAGAAATAGATGTGTATGATTCTTGGGTGCTTAAAGACCAATAAAAGGATTGCTTGTGTTCTCGTCCCAAAGGCACGAAGGATTCGAGTGATGCCCCATTCTCAGAAGAGAAAGAACCATCCGTGCAGTGGGAAAAGGAGAGGGGAGTAAGAGTGTAGCAACTTATTTTATAGTATTGAGCAGGATAGGAGACAGCTGAACCCAACTAAGAGATGAGATGAAAAAAAAATACTCAGACTGATGACATATTGGAATTGAAGCAAGAATAAATTTCATAGTCCCAAGAAAAGCCTGCCTAGGTTGTATCTGAAATTAGAAGCAGGATGTGAGAGTCTAATAATCGACAAGATGTTGCCAGCAGTAACTATTCATCCATGAAATAGTATATGCACAATACAATGGAATGAAGGGGACAACAAAACTCATACAATAAAGCAAAACCCTTGTTAAGCCTATGGGAGACTGAAGGAAAAAACCTCGGAACTGCAGTACCTGACTCTTGTCTATAGTGGTGATATCTCACCACTAAGGCAAAGTGCAGATAGGAGCCAACTACAACCCTAGTAAAAAATTACCACAGATTGAGGAATGATTAACTTGTGAACCTTGGAGAACCTAGGCATTGATATAGACAAGGAAGATTGATCACTGAACACCAATTTCCTGTCTTCATAGACCCAACAACTAACAAGAATAAAAACTGAAGAACTGGCCCAACTCTCTCACTACTACAGACCAACCAGACTCAGATAACCCTAGAACTAAGTTTTAAATCCCAATGAACTGCAGGAGATGGAAACCCTACAGGTTGGTTGGATAATAATAGGGAAAATGTGAACTGAACGACCAACTGTGACCCAAGGACCTACAAAGCTTCTGGACCAATGGGTAAGATTACTACATGTCCAAAAAATCTTGGAACTGAAACCCCACAGCACCTGCAAGTATACAATAATCACTGATGCTGCTGGCGATCTGACTAAGCAGTGGAAACCTTGGATATAGACAGAATCTATTCTGAGTATAAATGAACCGAGGATCTGATGTTGTGGATTGGTACTCATGAATAGACTAATGGATCCTGAACAAGACTCCATTAGTCTATCAAACCCACTTCTGATGATGCACGAGTGCACAACCTAAAGGAAGCCCATGTCCCCAAAAGAGCAAGAACCTCTCATGCAGTAGGAGAAGGAGAGGATGAGATGCTATATACAAGACATTTCATAGCTCGCAACTGAAGTGGAGCAGGTAGGGCCAAGGGAGTTGAAAAATACCTCAAAATGAACCAGAAAACTGTGTGGGTGGGAGGAAAACTGCTCCACTTTGACAAGCCAAACCACCATGACAATGTCTTGGAGAAGAAACTGAGGATGTAGGATTGAGTCATCTTGTTAGGAGGCAAAAAAGCAGCCACATGTCCATAGAACAGTGGAAACAAAGGCTCCTATAAAGACTCAGGTGGGCAAAAAATGGGATTGTGAGACAACCAGGGAGAAAATGGAAGTAGAGGACCAGACTTACTGAAACGACACATGGATCAACTATCAAGGACCTCCAAATAGGGGGGAATTGAAAGAGTTTGGCCCCCACCAGCCTTGACCCGAGAACAGTGGTCAGAGTAAGACAAATACAGGAAAGATAATTGAATTATTAGGGTCCAATCCCCACTAGGGGAGAAGAAACACCAAACTCTCGGAGTCCAAATAAAGGAAGTTAGAATGATGATAATCAAAAGCATGATTGTCCACAGTACGTGGGGGTCGAGGCATATCAACCCCTGAAATGGATGAAACACTAAAACAATGACTGAACGGCTAATCCTCAAGAAGGGCAGGGGTGGAACAACCTGAATATATTAAATCCACCAAAGAGAAAAGAGGTCTGGGCATATTCAGGAGGGGGAAAAGGTTGTCTAAATCCAAAACATCACAATCACTGAAAACCATGATAGGACAATAATTAGTATTTTCTGATTGTTGCATGAAACTGGTCAACTTCCAACATACAAGAGCTGTTATTTCATGAGCCAAGAATCATGGTTCCAACCCATTTGCAGCAGTTGTAGTTGTGACCACCTGAAACTGTGAATGAATAACTCATGAAATTTAAAGAGGAGAAAAGATAAAATAATTCATAACTCCACAAAAGAGAACGAAAATGGTAAATAACAATGTAATTAAAGAAGAAAAATTAAAAAAGTAAGGACTTGTGGATAAGTGAATCAAACCACGAGTGAAACCACTCTATTCTATAAGTCTATTCAATAAGACTGCCAATCGAGAAGTGGTTAACAGCTGCAAGATTAGAAAAAGCACTAGTTACAATAGGAGTAGTGTTGCACTCCTATTGGTGAAGAGTTGCTAAATAATCATTTACATCTTAGTATACAGAGATAAGTGGGAGTATCAAGGCTGGTTGGGAGTGAAAATTTGTATCGACAGAGGGCAGTATAAGTCAAGAAAGCTTTTTCTGAGAAGAAGCATGATATCGTATCAGAACAACCTATATACTGTACTTTGAATATCTGCGTGGAATCATCTACATTACACATAAAGTTTCTTATATACCAGCTCGTAAAGTTGAGATTTGTAACTGCAAGCACATAATGTGATAACTAAACTCAAGTTTTAAATAATATTTTAGAGGTTTCTTTTGAAATAAAGGAATAAAACTTAGATAATATAAAACTTTCAATTATAACATACTTGGTAACTTCATTAAAATACATTGACAGTAAAAGTTGTTTAATTGAAAAGGGTTTTAAAAATGGCATTGTCATTATAGGGTTAAACTCGGCTTAGAATGGATGATAATGGGCGATCTACCTATTAAAGGTTACCTGCCTTAGAGAAAGAGTGGAACTCTTAATTTATATTAGAAATCAGTGAAGTAAAACAGACAAATGAGGTAAACAACCAATCACACTGTCTCAAAAGGACTTGAATGAAAATTGACATTTTTTTTTTTCTGCAAAGGAGATCTTGGAATCTTTCTTTACTACTCTTAATAAATCACAGCCATTAAGATTATTGAAGCTTAAAATTTTGTACCCCAAGCTAGGAGCAATGTAGCCATGGCTCCAGGTTTATTGATAATATGGAACACTGATATATCTAACTCCAGCTCATTAGCTTATTTTAATAAAACATTATATGTAACCCTAGTAATTCATTATCAGCAAGTGTGGTACAAAATCATACTCCATATTATTAGCCTCAATTTCAGCACATATGATCAACAACTCAGTCAGTTCTTATAATTCAGTAACAATGTAAAAACATAAATCCAATACTTACACAACAATACCATTTAAAGAACATATATACCTTAATCCATTTCATAAACATATACTTTAAAAGTAATATAAATGTAAATACATGTTCCAGACCATTAAGTTACTCTTCAACAACAGTATCAAACATACACCCAAATTATTAGCTTCCATTGCTGTTGCAATCCCTGTACAGCCATATGCCAATTCTTCTGTTATAAGGCAACCGCCAAGATGGGACAGCCCAGCACCACCTATTATGAAAAATAAATACTTTTACAACATTTACAGAAACATTAAATACAAGTCAAGAAGGTTATAATTTCATTGTATAGGTCATTAATTAGGCTAAGTTGAGTACTGTGTTTAGTTTTGGCCTCCTTACCTTAGGCATACAACTGAACTGTTGGAAAGGGGAGGGCTACTAGGATGATAATACCTGGGATTAAAAGGTTAGGTTAAGATCTCTCAAATTACTTTTTCTTGATAAAAAAAGATGAATTGGAAGGGATCTGACTGAAGTGTATAAAGGATGCACCATCCTTTTCTCATACTTAAAGGTGAGAATGATAAGACTAGAGGACAGAAGTATAAATCTTAGCAGGGTAGGAGTCATCTTTAGCTAAAACAATTTTATTTTTCTAACAGGGTGGTTGGCCTTTGGAATGGATTACCTTTAAATGTGATGAATACGGTTAAGGGAGCTTAAGGGAAAGCTTGATGAATATTTGAATGATAACAGTTGGGTTTGAGTGTTTTACTTTCATTTTAAAGTTTAGTTTTGTAGATGAAATGGCCTGGATGGGCCAATAGGTCCATTGTTGTCTTTAAATTATATGTACATTAAGATATATGTATAAATGGAATTTTATGTTTCACAATAATTACACTTGAGAAATATAATGAAAATATTAGTAAAATTGAAGATCTAAAACAAAGACCTGAAACAAATCATTCAATAGCCAATTTAACATAATATAAACATTTCAGAATATTACTCTTGAATAATAATAATAATAGATTCTCAAATACATTATATTTTATTATATATATTATCCAGATATTAGTATTAATAATAACAACAGAAAAAGAGGTAAGTACCCTCACTTTTAATACTGTAATTACACATACTTACCATACTTTTCTGGAATCCCATGATTCATTAGTCCTAATTTCCATGCTTTTTTTAGTATTTCAACTGGGTACTAAACCACAAAAAAAAATCATTACTCTCTTCCAATAGATTTTGAAAACACAAATAGCACCATAATCCTATTTCTTATGTCTTGCATAAACTTTATAAGGTTATTAACAAAATTCACAGATTATCTTTAAATCTTTATTACTTTAAATTTTGTCACCTTTATTACTAAAGTTTTCTTCTAAAATATGTTTTAAAAAAGTACTTACACCATAAAATAATAGATTCTACCAACAAATCAAATATTCTTGCTTTTCAATAAAATCTAAACTATAAAACAATCTCACATTACAATGGTTATGGCATTGTTATGGTGTATCTGCATAGTTTTGATACAGCACTACCATTGAAAAATGATGAATTCAGACACACACAGCCAGACCTAACTGAGGTAGAAGAATCAACCATGTCCTGATCCCTAAGTAAATATATCAGGAAGCAACTGGGCTCCCACAAATGTATACCATTCAGAACAAAATCTATAACTTCACTACACAAAAGAGGGATAAGAAAGCAAATAACCAAGCACAGTCACTGAAATATGATTCTCAAGAATGATGCTTGGAAGGACTTGAGGAATAACGAAGACTGGAAAATTCTATTATTTCTTCAAAGTCCAGCCAAAGTACACAAAGGAACTAGAGATACAAACAACTGTTGTAAATTGATGATGGAGAAAACAGAGTGCAATGTGAGGAAAAGCAACCAACAGTGTATCGTAGCAAAGTGACACAAAATGGTATAACCTACAATTTGGAAAAACATTCTACACAGAAAAGGAATAAAGAAAAGTAATCATGATCACATCCCAAGATGAAATCATTAATCACTTAAACTCATTTATATCTAACAGAATAAGTCACAAATCTCAGTAAAGAAAGAAAGAAATGTAACAAACCTTGGATATAGAGAACAGAAAAATATAGCAAGTATAATCAAAGATCTTAATTCAACAACTATCAGATTATACATAATTTTTCTGCCCATAACAGAAGAACTAAACAGTTATACTTTACTGGCTATAACAAAACATAACTCAACAGACATTAGATATTATATTAAGTATGTTTGTCTATAACAGTTGTAAGACAATTTATCTGCCTATAAGCACATCTGTGTGGCTACCAGACTAAACAAAGTTACTCTGCCTGTAATAATAACAGAACTAAACAATTATCAGACACCTTTCTCAGCCTGACTAGATAACTACTACACAATTATCTGATGTTGTAAGCTCAGTTTATCTACCCATAAACACATCTATATGGCTACTAGATTATACAAAGTTACTCTGCCTGGAATAACAACATAGGCAGATAAACTGAGCTTACAACATCAAATAATTGTGTAGTAGTTATCTAGTCAGGCTGAGAAAGGTGTCTGATAATTGTTTAGTTCCAAACACATCTATATTGCTACTAGATTATACAAAGTTACTCTGCCTGTAACAACAACAGAACTAAACAGTTGTTAGACACCTTTCTCAGTCTATCCAATGAGAAAACTAATGCACATATTTATTTGGCTAACTGTGCAATCAAATGGACACACACATAATAAATTAATTTCCAGAAGCATAGATAAAAAGCATGAAGAATAGTCACAACAACTATTTTGTAGATAAGACAAGAGAAAGAAATGTAACAAGTGACATGTAATAAGTAACATAACATGCTACTTTTTTATTAACTAATATGTAAAGTTATTATAGTACTTTTTCCGAATAAACAAGTATTGAGTTAGTATTATTCAGTAATGTGCCAAACACTCTACAATTATACTGGAACAGAATTTTGAAAATATCTATAAAATATGTATATTTAAAACAGTTATTTTCAGAAGAAATACTGTACACATCTATCTACAGTGACCAGTGTGATTGTATTTTTTAAATAATTTCAGGAGTTAGTTCAAACACACTCACTCAAAATCTATCAAATTTGCCATTTTTACCCTCTCATGATTAATGTTTTAGATTTTTGACCTTGAACTGTCTGAGGATATTTCTGAAAGATATATATGCTGCAAATGTGCATAAACAGAAACTTTAGCCATGACTTTGGGCATATGGTAGAGGAGGTGGTGGCAGATTTTTGTTTTATTTGTTTTTGCTACTGTAATTAAAAGGAACTTATATAATACTATAAAAATTGATCTAGTTTCATCAACTTTTCAGCACTCCTTCTGTGGGAAAAATTAAAGAAAACATATTTCCTCAAATAAGTAAAATATTAATATTTATTTACATGTACCAAATTGTTAATAATTATTTTTCACAAAACAAACTTTGGTATATCTAGTTAATACTCTATTAGATAAAAAAAAAATCTTTATGTTTGTGATATAATCATCACACCACCAGTTAAGCATACAGTACATGTGCCCAAACATATCACTTACTTCCTCATCTCAAGGCAATGGTGTCAAAGGCCAACTGTTATTTAGATAACTGCAAGCACTGTACCATTCATGTATCTCAAATCACCTTGTTTTCTTAAAAGAAGTAAATGTATAAACAAGGAAAGGTGTAATTTATATTATAGTCATTCCATAAAATTATATTATTTTTCTACACTAAAATAGCCTAGAACATTACATATAAAAAAAACTACTTCATAAACAGTCAAAATGAACAAAAAGTGCATACACATAGACTTGTTAACCAAAAAATATCATGAGATTCTCATACAAGCTTAAAACATTACAAACGTGTTACCTCATACACTACCACTTAAGTTTTGAAAAACTATGTAACAACAGAAAATGATTTGTGTTTCTAGTATGAATATTTAGCAAGAAAAAAAAATTATACATAAATACACCTACACTTAAAGATAGATACATGCACAGAAAGATATATAGCTCCAAAATTGAAGCTGAATTATTCTGTATTTTTTAAATCTATTACAAAATGTTAAAGACAATACAAAGTTTGTCTCACTTCTCCAGTTTCATCATAATGACGAGCAACAGGAATGACCTCTTCTCGGGCAAACTTCCTAGATAGAGCTTGGTATTCTTTCTGTTCATCAGTGAGTTCTACAGTTCGAAAGTAAAAATAAGGCAAATCATGATCTGTTATTTAACAAAGTTATTGAAAAGAGTGTTATATAATATTAAGATACAAGTGGATTTTGAGATTTAAAAATTACAAAATCAACTAACAGAAATCCCTTGGTACATAAGTATCATGTATATATGTTTACAGATATAAACTCCTATGAAAAGAAAAACCTTTTATTGAAAAGAGAGTTATATAATATTAAGATACAAGTGGATTTTGAGAGTTAAAAATTACAAAACCAACTAACAGAAATCCCTTGGTACATAAGTATCATGTATATATGTTTACAGATATAAACTCCTATAAAAAAAAAACATTTTACCTAACAATGAACAATTGCCTGAGAGATTATGTACAAACAGACATAATGCTGTGAAAATAAAAGTATACTTAAACAAGAGACACAAGTCCATTAACTCAGAAATAGCACATTCAAACAGATATAATATTACTGAATTACATCCATACCCAGACAAATGACAGACAACCACCAGTTTACAGTTAGTATAATTAAACTGGTATAATTTCACTGAATTAAATACATACTCAAACAAATGGCAGAAAACCATGAGTTCAAAAGCATAATATGCATACATATACAGATATTTTTTTTTTCAAAATGTTTTGGCACATGCGT